AATAAATTCCATCGTTCAGTAATCAATATAAAACATTACCGTTTCGGTTTGCCATTGAAATTTAATGAATAAAGTATTGTTGGTCTGTGTTGTTGTGCGTAATTTGAATAGAATGCACAAAATCTTGCATTCCTATATGTATATGATATAGTTGAGGTTGGGCATTTAACAGCCATTTCCCGATTTTCCATCTCAGGTTCTAAAATACTTGTCTTTATAATTGAAATGAAAGCAGTAAACGCAAGATAAATCAGACAAAACTACAGTACTTGTAAATCAAAACGCGCGCAAGTTTTCTTAATTAACTGAGACTGCAATGGCAATGAGAATAGCCTCAGCATAATGGCGGTCGTATTATAAATACGACAATCGCAGACAACAATCACTATAATTCTCGCAGTATTATAATAACTCACCTTATTCCTTTCGACGTTTATCACATCTTTGAAGTTACAGGCGAACTAATTCTAAAGCATTGACGCTGTGAACCACACGTTTTGAATTGCATTGGCGGCCAGACCTTTGTCATTCAAATACAAACAGCAACCTTGCTCGCTTCTTCCTCACACTGTTTTAAAGCCATCTTTATGCTTGAAATATGAATATACTAAATCCATTTCAATCAGTTTGTATCGCTTCCATCGCACTGACACTTAGAACCAATCCTAATAGAACCCTCGCACCACAATAGCAGATATATTCCCATACAAACGACCACAAACTATATAAATGCCAGTGTTGATGTGAGAAGAAGGTATTAGATTTCACGGCGGCGCTATCCTCATTGGTTGAAAGCTCGATCATGCGGCGCGCGAATATTCAAATATTTCGGCTTCATTGTGTGTTATCTTCATATTGTGTTGCTACTGCTGCAAATTATATCGTGTTATAATATTTGAAATGCGATATTTTGAGGTCCAATTTTGCCAGTTTCCAATCTGTATGATGAAATGCATAAACATACATGACACATGACATGGGAGCTATTTCTGTTAATTTATTATTTATATGTCTAAAAGTATTAACTTCTGAATTCAAATGTTTCATTTGTGAAATGGTTTATAATTTGCCAGTAAATTAATATGCGGCTGTTTCATGCTAACAGTAAATAATATTCGGATAAATATTTGCCAATTAATTAATTTGGCGAAATACCTGTAATCGGCCAGCCCTAGCCTGTGACGGTAGATCAGGCTCAAAACGTGTGTTTATAGACCGCGTTATACTGTAAAAGTGTTTTAGTTTAAGAATATATGTTATTCTAACTGCACAAACAGTTTTAACACCACCAAAAAGGTGCTATTTTAACACCCGTGCTCAGTGCTAATTTAACACCACCAAAAAGGTGCTATTTTAACACTCGTGCTGGTGCTAATTTAACACCACCAAAAAGGTGTTATTTTAACACCCATGTTCTCACTCCACAAACAGTGCTAATTTAACACTGGGGAATACAAATTCTTAACACCACTTATGGTGTTATTTTAACACCAAGAATTTAGCACCGGAAACCGGTGTTATTTTAACACCACCTGTCCTTAAGTGGGTGTTATTTTAACACCTCTAAAGTGGTGTTAAACAATTTGAGTGTTAAATTAACACTTTGCAAAATATTTTTATTTGTGTCGTGTTAAATTAGCACCGAAAAAGGGTGCTAAAATAACTCCTTTGTTTAACACCACCAGTTGGTGTTAATCTAACACCACCCGAGGTGTTATTTTAACACCCTGAAAATAACAGTGTAGGCTACGGACATAAATCGTATACACCCCCGGAAAGATTACTCTATGACTGACTGAATGAATAAATGACCGATTCGTGTGCATTTTCGTTACTCATAGAAATACTGTAAAGTTTCGAGAAACTTTAACTTTACAATAAAAACGAAATTTTCAAAATCGCGGCTAGCCGCTTTGTGGAAGTTACTGATAAAGAAATGAGCGAAATCAAGTACAATAAATTCAGTCCCAAAACACGCACACAAGACTTGTACTCTCAATCTGCGAATATTCCTCCGATAATCACCGAGCCTGAGGTGAATAATCAGTTAATCTGGCTAAAGTGATAAAATTGCTTCTTCCGAAATATCCGGCCATGAGTAAATTTACTAAACGTCATTGCTACTGTATATCACTTGATTGGACACACGTAACATAATTGTTTGCCTTTTTTTGATTGCCTAACATCGCCAAACGAGTTTTTGCATGAGTAAATCCACTGCTTATATTTTCTTAGAACAAAATCAATAGAATAAGATGGTTAAGGAACTCTATGCAGACATAATAGACCTCATTTTCTATATTTTTGTCTTGGTTTATGCAAGAAATGGTCGGTTCATCGTCATGTGCATGTTTTTGCCCAGCCAACTAATAGCATGCAGTGTGTTCGTTTCATCACACAGTCGTAACGTTGCATGGTCAGTGGTTGCTATAGCGATAGTACAATACACACGTGACGATGAACCGACCATTTCTTGCATAAATCAAGAAGAAACCCAGATAATGAGGTCTATTATGTCTGCATTGAGTTCCCTAACCTTCGTATTCTATTGCCGTCGCTTATAATTACTGTACGCATTGGGCGCACTACAATAAAATGGCTTCGCGATGGCGAGACGACTGGTTGCAAAATTAAAATTGATATGATTGGAACATTAGATCATACCTACGCAGGTAAACCCGTTTCCAGTAAAGCTTGTATTACATTGACAGGTGTAAGATCCAACAGTGTTTATGCAGTCAGCATTTGCGCTACAAGCATGAGTCCCCAGTCCACATTCATTAATATCTAGAAAGTTATGAATAAATCGTTACACGAAATGAAATTGAGGGCAAATTATAAGTAATATTAACCAAAGTAAAAAAAGCAAAGTGAAATGGCATAGGTAGGAAAGAGCACATGAGAATTCATTTGACAAAAGTGGAGTTAGAAGGCTAAATTTAATTTCCACGCCGTGCGTCAACATATAAGTTGAGAAAGGTAAAACAAATCTAGAAAACTCAGTACATAGGATTCTTTCATAGGAAATGCTGACATATAATATTTTCGTACGCGGTATTAATTGTTTTCTCAGGTGCAGAACAAAACTACATAGAAACAGCCAGATTTAAAAAATCAGTGTACAAAAACAAACAAGGAAGGCTGTATTCCGCGCCGATTTTGTGGCTAGATCATGGCAGTGCAGGGCATTCTATGAATACACACTAGTACATGTATAAGGCTGCTTAATATTGGCAGAGGTTGAAAAGTGTTTACACATGAAACATCTCACAATTTAGACTGCGATTTGGTCTCAAACTCAAAGTTAGTTGGAGAATGTGATTTTGAGGAAGAATGATCTGAAAAATGAATCTATAGCCCTTTTCCTAACCTACACACTTAGGACTCCCAGTTTTAGCTCGTAGTAGGAATATAATTTGTTCTTTAAAATTAAAGGTAAATGTATAGAGGAATGGAGGGTATAGTAGCGCGATTAATCATTTATTTGAAAGAATTCACGTTTTCTAATTGGCTACCAGCCAGCTGTAAATTGGTTATGCCAACTCAATGGCGGAGCAAATATGGATTTTGACATAATATTTTGACATAACGTCAAAATGATGAAAAATCATATCAAGGTTATAATGTCATGCTGTAAAAATACGAATGTGGAAACATGAGCAAAATAACATGGCGCCTGTGGTTTGTGGGAAGCAATTCAAATTTTGAAATATGAATGAAAACAGCCGGGATGGCCGGGTAGAGAAATAGAAGGTTTTCTGCAAAATAATTGAATGCACAGTCGGGGATGTTTTTTCATCTTGTGGGCAAATTGTAAAACAACTATTGAACTTAGTTTTCGGATGTTATGATGGATTGTCAAAGCATCAATTTGAGTAGTTATCAACTGTAGCTGCATGCTTCGGTTGAAAACACAAACATCAGCTCTGATAATTCTTCATACCATGCTCTACTTCATCCAATAATTGTTTATTACTATTAATTTAAAACATATACGGTTTCTGATTAGATAACAGCCAACTGTGAAATCGTCATGCCAACTTCAGAAATCAAATAAGAAGTTTTGATATGATATCCAACGGCATGACGTCATGACATGGAATATGAAAAAATTATATTCAACGTGGTGATGTAAGAACGTTGAGTATGAAAAAAATCATATTCAACGTTAAATATGAAAACGAAATGGTGAAACACGACCAAAACAATATGGCGCCGCCTTCGGCTGTACTTTTAGCAAATTCCATGTTTAAAGGAAGAATTTCGAAAATATAATCAAGAAATATGAAGAGCAGCTACGAAAGGTTTCGAAACACTTTAATTAAGGTACTTGTCAGAGAAAAAGTAAAGATTCGGTTTTGTTTGATAACACAAAATTTGGCCTTAGTAACAGAAAGGTTGGCTTCAATAATTCTTCATGTTATGTTGAACAGCTCAACTTCAATCAATAATTGTTAAATATTATAGAATTAAATTGAATTCATCACCCACCAGTGCAATGGGTTCCATTGCCAGTGAAACCAGTACGACAGGTGCAGATAAATGAACCGGCGTCTCTCTTGGTACAGCCTGCGTTGACAAAAGCCTCGTTTAAAAAAGTGTAAAAATAATGCTAAAAATAGATTAACTATAAAATAAGCGAATTTTTTAATCAAACTTCTAATGAATCTCCTATGCTTATATTTCATATTGTTTGTTAATTTTAACGCCCCGCGCCGCGTAGGCTATACTGATATGGGGACCTTTTATGAGGGAATTATGATCAAAGGGAGCACTAGCAGTTATAAAAACGTTTCAATGAGAAAAAATAACTGGACAACGGGATGTTTTAATGGCGAACCTCATGATGACGAACTGAAAGCTGGTTTACAGTATCTGATACAGTGGAACTGTAAAACTCCATATTTTGATATTGCTATTGAGAAGCATTAGTGGTTATTCCAAAATTAATTATTACAAAAGAATACTAGTTCAACTTGATGCTTGATAAAGGTTCTTACGTGTAAGCAAGTCGTCAAATGCCGGAAAGAAGATGTTTTCAACTTGATTCATATCATATCCATACAACGTTGTAGCATTTTTATTCAAAAGCTGAGCAAGTTGAGAAACTGTTATAGCCAGTTGATCAGCACGACACTTTATGGCTGCTGCGACAATATCAGGTATAAACAAAGACCATTGATCATTGATCACACGTAACGACGAAAGATTTAGTTTCTGTTCCAAAACTGTCATGTTGAAGCAAAATTTCTTCTCTATTGCTGCAACAGCAAACTCGTGAATTTCTCTTATTTGATAGCTTGCAACGTTTTCCAAATTTTTCAGAGTAAGATTAGTAGTAGCAACGACATCAGTGTCATTTACAAAGTAGCACACATCGGGGCAATGATATAACATGCTCTGCTCAAGGATCTCTTTTGAAAGTTGTCCACGTTGGAGAAGAACATCAGCGTCGAAAACTATTGTTTGGACGGTGGTCAGCCCAATAGCTTCGAATGCACTAATCTGGCCTCCTGGGTTCCTCGGCGTTTGCCAAACATCATAAGTCGTAACTTTATTGTAATTGCCTTTGCTTTGGTTCATGAAACCTTGTAAAAATGGTAAATTCAGGGAAGCTAAAGGTGCCGTTAACACTGGTACACGAATAAATGCATATACATTGTGAATGCCCCTCAAAAGAAAGAAAACAGCCAGTAGTTGCATTCTAAAATAATACAAGAAAATGAAATCAAACCAATATATGTATATAATTAATATTAGAAACTAGATTGTGCATGTTATTACACATTCAAACTTTACTCTCATTTCCGATTGATCAACGATCATCCTCGGCAAATTCTCAACATTCGGTTGCTGCATTGTATTTCATCTGCTGACGTGATTCAAAAAGTATTGTTTGCGTGCAACAGAATCCAAGCGCGGTTGGTAGTTTGTTATAAAGCCCATCCAAAAAGATAGTTTGTAGTAGGTTCCCTTCTTTAAGAACGAGAACTGTTTAAATTATTATCATAAAGGCTCACGAAATAATGCAAAACCACCTTCGAAGACGGTATTTATTGTTTGTCTCTTAAATATTTTTAAAAAAATTTACTACCAGCTGCCAGTCTTCGTTTTCTTTTTGGTTTTGATGCTTGAATATATAACAAAACAATAATATGGGTTACGCCCAAGATCAAGAATTATTTAGGATTATATTGACCAAGTCAATACAAGTTAATATAAGATAAATTAAGCGTTTCTTTTTGCTAGTAACGCTACAAAATACTATTCCAGCAAATTTTGAAGTAATTCAGTAAATCAATATTTCGCATCAAATTTGTTTCAAAATTAATAGACAGTATAATATTGCCTATGTATCAAAACTGACACAGAGTGTACGGTCCTCCTTTGGTAGCTAGCTATTTCATTAATATACTCTGTAAAAATGACGTCTTCCATACCAGTTCAATTAAAGAAAACGGCATGTGCTAAAACCTGGACGATGGACAATTTTTATTTACAGTCAAAACACTAAAACCTGCACACTTCTGCTCTTGTACTTTACTACTTTGTTGTCATTTATTATTATTTCGTTGTGTATTAATAATAATGTTAATATTGCAATACTTGTAACAAAGAATGGCTTTTCGGTAAGATTCACTGCATAAGTAGCAATATTTAAACTTTCAGCAGGCTGCGATAAAAGTCCAATGTTAAGAATTGTAACATTGATTAAAGTAATTTGTATAATTTCTATTTTGAAGAACTGTCAATCAAATTAGAGTAGGTAAGGTCTATGGTAAGGTCACTAGTTTATAAGGCCAGGTTTATTTGTCGGTTAGGGTAAAACGTGGATGTGGACGGATGGAAGGGTAAATGCGGACGGACGAGAGGGTAAAATGCGGACAGATGAGAGGGTAAAATGCTGATAGGAAGGTATATCGAGTGGTATTTGTATTTTTCATGCAGAATTAAATCCTTGCCACTTTCATGAATATTTCTTTGTTATCCGTCTTTTCAATGCAGTTATCCGTTTACAGGTTTTCAAGGAAATTAATTTCGTTGAAAATAGTTTAAATATACCAAAAATTGTCGCGGAAAAATGGCAATTTCCGTACGGTCGATCTACTTTTACTGTACTAAAGTGTCAAACATCATAACAAACGATTTCAGGTATATTCAAACCGATAACTTTCACATTCAAAAGCCATTCAAAAATACCATATTCCATTGGAATAGCATTAGATTACTACACAGACGGATAAGAGAGAAAATTAATCATGAAAGTGGCAATTGTATTCGCGTTTGCGTAAAAGTAAGCAGAACGGAAATTGCCATTTTTCCGGCGGACAATTTTTGGTATATTTAAACTGATAATTTTCTTGAAAACGCGTATAGGTATGTTTAAACGGATAACTGTATGCGTATTGAAAAGACTTTCAAAAATAGCATATCACAGTGGAATTAGATTACTACACAACCGGATAACAAATAAAATGATTTACGTATAGAGAAGAAAGTTATTTATGTGGTTAAGAAAATTATTTATAGAGTATAATTTTGCATGAAAAACACAAATAGCGCCCGATATACCTTCATATCCACATTTTACCCTCCCACACTCCGCATTTTACCCACCATCTGCATTTTACCCTCTCATCCGTCCGCAATTTACAGTCCCATCCATCCGCATTTTAGCATCCGATCCGTCTGCATTTTACCCTCCCATATAGCCTGATAACAGACCTACGTTTCACCCGCCCTAAAATTCGTCGACAGAAAGGGCGAAACGTAGGTCTGATGAAAATGTTGTCAAAAGCGTCTTCCGCCCACTTTGCATTTTGCAATAATTAACGATGATGATTGACACAACATGTAATACCTAAAAATACAATGAAAGTTGTCGATTTCACTTTATTGCAAGTTTGTAAACTAGTAAGAGTCGATAAGTACAGATATTCGAATAAATATTTAAAATATTAGTAGCCCCATGGAGCCCGTTGCTTTTATATACTTAAACCTTTGTAAACAAACAGTTACAACTAGTAATCTCTGGCTTGTAATAATACAACATTTTCAACACATTCTATAAATGCGATAAAATCTGCCTGCATAAATTTGGCAATGGCCAACGTGCCATTGTTGAATTGCATCCCAACTCTTACAATTTATACATTTGAAATCGCCATACAATGGTAATCTAAATAAAATATTTCGTACGTGCTGTTATCAAAATGTAAATCATGAATGCGCACATATTTGTATCCGAGTTTTATTATGATTAATCACAAAACTTATATCGTGTATAAAAAATTATATATTGTATTGTTTATTAGCCTACAATGGAAAGATACAACGCTGAAGAATTTGACACGCACTGCTCTACTCCCCTCTAGTTTTAATTTTAGACGGTAGATACTGATCATAGACTAGTTGTCGTTCGGCATCACACAATATTTATAATATTACACTGTATGCATATTTAAATGCGTTGATTTACCGTTGAAAATATTGTGATCTTTTCAAATCTTTTCATGTTAGCGACCAACCAATCACAACCCATTTCCCTGTGAATTAGCCAATCAGCTTTGTCGACCGCCAGGCGGTCGACCTACATGCACTTTTGACAACATTTTCATCAGACCTACGTTTCGCACTTCGTCGACCCGCGAATTTTAGGGCGGGCGAAACGTAGGTCTGTTATTAGGCTACCTGCCATCCGTCCGCACTCGTTTTAAAAAAGCTTTGCATAATGTGTATACCAGTACCAATAAGACTAGTAAGTTAAAATGTAGTTTTTAACTGCCAAGCAGAGAAGTCAGCAAACTCAAAACGTAAATCGATACTGTACCATGCATTAATAAACATACTTTTAATAAACCTATTATTCAGTATATTATTTTTATTAGAATCTATTGTTCATGCAGTGAAATGTTAAATTGCTTCTTTAAGACACGTGAGTTGTGAAAATTAATTCTTTTTTTTTCGTTGTGAAACGTGACCCATACTCCTCCCCCCTTTCCCACCCTCTATTAAGATACATAATATCGAGTTAATACTCCTATAACTCTTCTTATTGTAATAACGCTATGAAATGTATGTATACTGTATTACAATACTTTGCTAATATTGCAAATAGGTTTACTGTTTCAAAAGATTTCCTCTTGCTATGATGTTAAATTTTAGATTTGAAATGCTTCATGACAATCTGCCATAACAATTCCATAATTTCCATTTTCTTCGCTTACTACGCTGTGCATGTTTTGATTACTGAAATAATAAATAATTAACGAATATTTAAAGTAAGCTATATACAGCCGGAAATCACTGATCCGTTAATGCATAAATATAATAACACATATTCACATCGCCCACTCTTAAAATGGCGGCCTTTTTGAACCGCTCAGTAGTCGATTTTGTAATTATAACTGACATTTCCTTCCTCCCCCTCTAACAATAAAATGGCCGAGTATAAAACAAGGTCTGCAGATTTAGATTAGGGTTAGGGTTAGATTAGGGGCAGACTAAGATTCCTGTTTAATCAATTCATTCATATATCATAAATTCAAAGGCCAGGCTCATGCTGAGAAGGGAAATTCCACGACATAATTAAGGAATGAGATATAGTCTGGCAGTAACGCCTTCGCATGAAGCATTCCTGGGTAATTATAAATAATACTGTAAAGATAACCAAGTTTAATAGGGTCTTTTTAGATTTCATGACGATAATACAATATGAATGCTTGCTTGTGGAAACACGTAACGGCTTATAACTATATATATGTATACTAAAACTGTCTGTACCAGTGTAGATAGTACCAATGTGAAAATGCTGTGCTGAGTGGTTATATTACTACCTTAAAAAATAGGTCGTCGAGTTTCTGCTTATTTTTTAAGGTAGTAATATAACCACTCAGCACAGCATTTATAACTATATAACCAAACTTAGGCCTATATTCTGATGCGTTATAACGTATATAGTATAATATAACGCCCGTGTTCTAAAAGCTTATACTCATGCACACTCATACTCAATGAGACGAGGTTCAATCTGAGCTTTCCTTGAGCGTGAATGCTGTTTATGAATAGCTGGAGGGTGAGTTGTCACATAGTAAGGTACCACACTAACTCTCCAGCTTTTCAAAAACAGCAATGACACTCGAGAGAAGCTCAGATTGGACTTCTACACTCATTGAATGTGAGTGAGCTGTTAGAAAACGGCCGTAAGAGTACAATTTTTGCATGTGTATCTTATCTTCACGGTATCTCGATATTATACTGCTGGACATCCAGTATATATCGTCATATTGACACCATGTAACTGTACGGCAATTTTATATTTATAATATGTACAGCAAGTTGCATGCATCATCAATAAATTCTCAAAAGTATTTGAGTCGATGTTTTATACAGGTATAGTACTACTACCATAAAATCTACTTACTTTCTTCATAAAGACTCCAACAGTTTCATTAAATACCAACCTGCAGCAGAATCAGATGATTGAAGATGTAAAAACGTAATAGCTACAGTACTTGCTCAAAGCCAATGGTCGCCTTCCATTGTGAATGTGAAAAGTGAAACATAGTTTGACAATATCGTGGTACGATCATGCTGTGAAATAGAGTTATACGCCTGCAATATTGGCATTGTTAATTAAGGCCCTTTCACCAGAATAATTTGTGGCACAAAATAAATAAAAATTTTACCCATATGAAATTTGCTCGCTGTAAAATCAGTGACACCGAAGTTTGATCGAAAGTTTAGATTGAAAGGTTATTTCTTGCAAGTGTTTGCCATTTACACCGTGCAAAATAATATTGTATTGTATTGGAAGGAATTATTGACAACGTAGTAGCATAAAAAATCACCTAATTATAAGATAAAAATTTCCGCTTTCACTTTGACAACGCGAGAATGTAAACAGGAGGAAATTGATTACCTCCCCAGGGAGGTTATGTTTTCTTTGGTGTTATGTATGTGTGTGTGTGTTTATGATGGGGGGGGGGGGTGGGTTCCAGTTAATGTTTAGTAGGTTAGTTAATTAAATAATGTCATTTACAGCCGGTTGCCGAAAAATAACCTACTAATCCGGCCCAACACTTATATTTTAAATGCAGGCCTGCCCGCTTCTCGGCTTATGTAAGGTGATCCATGCATGCACTCCTTGGATTCCGGATTCCTTTCTTTGGATTCCGGTCCTTGGATCCCGGATAACTCCGTATTCCAGTACAGTATATAGCATTTCACATTCCACCGATGTTTGGATTTTGAATTTCACTGTCTGGATTTCGGGCGCATGGGGCGACGCTTCGGTATAATGCATTGTGTCATGATATTAAAGGCGATATATTATTAATAATATATATAATAAGTTCTTTGAATGTTTGCATGGCGATAAAATATAATTGTTTTTGTTTGTGGAAACACCACGTAAATTTATTACCGCAAAGCTTTCGATCCGTAAGCCCGGATCTTCATCAGTGCTAATAATATGTGACTTGTTTAATTCACACGCTCTTTTTATATACAAGAGTGTCGTGATCTGTTGGCTCGCGTCATTTGAAATTTAATTAAACGGCACATCAATCACGTCATTTCAAAACGTAGTGAAGTGATTCCAATTAACGCGCGCGCATCCAAGACAAGAGAAATTAATTTTGCACATTAAAGGGAGCACGCCACGTACTATCTAGTGGCTTTCCCTCCTGATCTATAGTATTGTGCTTCTCGATTTCAATTGACTCTCTCATTTTGCGAGAGAACTTATGACTATCAATCGCCAAAATGGTTGCTTCGTCCCATTTTATACGATGGTCGTAAGTCCAAGAATGTTTAGCCACAGCAGATTTATCTTGCTCGGCTTTCTCGCAATTCGTTTTGTGTTCCTTAAGACGTACTGAGAGATTTCGACCAGTTTCACCAATGTAAACCAGACCACATTTACAAGGAATGCTGTACACACCAGGTTTCTGAGATTCATTTACGTTGTCCTTATGTGTGCAAAGAGCTCGAAACTATTTGTTTTCGCTGGAATGGTATACCTTTATACCTGCGTCATTCCTCAAAATTCTTTCGATTTTGTGTGAAGCCGGACCAATGTATGGTAGACTAACAGACGACTGATATTCAATCTTCTGCTGTATATTTTGTGGCGTTTTCATAACATTATCTATGAAATGCCGTGGGTAACCATTCATTTTTAGAACATTTCTTAAATGTTCTAATTCATCGTCAATGTTACTTACCTCACAAATTGTTTTCGCTCGGTTGATGAGTGTCTTGCACACAGAGTTTTTAATACTAGGATGATGAAATGAATTATAATGCAGATACCTGTCTGTATGTGTTGGTTTCCTATAAACCTTATGTCCTAGCGACCCATCATCATGTATAGTGAAAAGAACATCTAAGAACGGTATAGTTTTATCATCCTTCTGTACTTCAAAAGTAAACTTGATCGATGGATGCAAACTATTAATGTGGTCTAGAAACTTTTGTAAATTATCTAGTCCATGAGACCAGCTACTCAATGTATCATCCACGTATCTGAACCAGAAACCTGGTTTCAACTTTGCAGTAGCTAAGGCCTTCTTTTCCAATTCCTCCATGAACAAATTAGCCATAACAGGCGACAATGGACTTCCCATTGGAGCGCCGTTTGTTTGTTCATAGAATTTCTCCCGCCATTGAAAACATGTCGTGGTCAAACATAGTTTCAACAAATCATGAACATTCTCAGGAGAAAGATTAGTTCTTTGAGATAATGTAATATCTGAAAGAAGTCTTTCTTTCGCGATATTACAAGCTTCTTCAACTGGAACATTAGTACGTGAACAAGCTAACTACGTCAAAACTTACCAGAATGTCACTTCACTACGTTTTGAAATGACATGATTGATGTGCCGTTTAATTAAATTTCAAATGACGCGAGCCAACAGATCGCGACACTCTTGTATATAAAAAGAGCGTGTGAATTAAACAAGTCACATATTATTAGCACTGATGAAGATCCGGGCTTACGGATCGAAAGCTTTGCAGTAATAAATTTACGTGGTGTTTCCACAAACAAAAACAATAATATATATAATGTTTAGTCAGAGACACTGAATGACAGATTAAGATTTGTTTCATAAAATGTGCATTGCATCAATTAGAGTGAGGACGTTTCGAAGTATCTTAAAGTATAAAATACCAATTACAAACTACTCGTAATTCTTTTATTTATCGTTTTAAAATTGACTTCGTATTTCAGCGTGTCTGCATTCTTTCTCGTTATGTTCTGTTCATCTTTCAATAAATCCATTACAATATCGGAGAATCTTTTAAAGGATGCCGATATATTAATCCTACGAAAATCCCTTCGATAATAATCGCCAAAACAAAACTACATTTTACATATCAAATGCGTTTTCGCGCGTTCTGATTGGCTAGTTCACTAGTAAATCTAAAGAATTATTTACCAGCAGAGTAGTAAATAATGCTTTTCTAAAAGAAAGCATGATTCGGCAAATTTGGCTTCAAATATTGAAAAAGTCGTCCCAGAAAACAAAAGAAGCACAAAATGTTGTATGTAACTTGAAAGGTAAGATTCCATTATTATTTTACTGTGTCAAACATATTCACGGACAAACAATTATAACTTATTTAAAACTCCGAAACTTTGCTTCAAACAAATAGCAAAAACTCAAATCCCGACTTTTGGGAAAACCTTGCCGTGATATTCATTCAATACCATTTTGTCTTGCATCCTATATATAGAGATCTCAATTTGTCACGAATTCTATTTGTTGCACGATATGTCATGTTTTCATTGTGCTGCATGCGTGGTGTCCTGACGCTGTATTGTAGTTTTCGAAACTTGTAAAGTGAAAATGGTATTAAAACTTTATTTCGAGGCATTCGAGCATAGTTTTACATTCGATTTTACTAATGTTCTCAGCCATTCAGCTTGAACAAATTAATGCTAAACAGAAACTATTTTTATATTTTAAGTCTGGTGAAAAATCATTACATGCATCATTGTGTTTATATTCCAAAGCAGAAATAGATCATTGAAAAACAACTCCGTATTGTAATAAAGCAATATATAAAGTCACACAGGAAAAAAAACACTGCAACACCAAGTCGGTATTACTGTGAACCGGCCGAAAGCAGTTTATTTCTGAATTTTAATGAACTGGGGCCGGTTGTAAAAAAACGTCGTTAACTTTAACTATGATTAGCGTTAATCACTGTACTTGAATCCTTAACTATGATTATATTAGTTAACTACACGACTTAATTGTGTTGCACAAAACGTAGTTTGTAGGATGATTAACTAATCACGTAGTTAACTTGCGTGGGGCGTTTTAAACACAAAATTACATAAAGTAAGCAGCGATTAACTACCGCTGACAAGCATTTTTAACACGATTGTGGATTCGCATTTTGCAAATAGACGGGAATTTTGTTCTAAACAATGAAAATAAACTAGAAAACAAGGAAAAAATCAACGAGGAAGGCCATTTTTACTTGAGATGTCTACGTTAAACCAAAGTGTAACTGTTTGCCAATTATATATCACGTTTCTTCGTGTAATGGGCCCTACGTCGTCTTCGAGAAATCTTCCCGTGCAAAAATATATGTTGTTTTCGGCAATTTCGCCGAAAAACCAAAGCGATAGCATTTGAAGAGTTTATATTGTTAGAAAACATTCACAGGGAAGATAGCGATTTAAAATCCCAGGTAAGCATTACTTTTCATTGTTGTTTTACTGAAAAATGTTGTTCCCTCCTATACAAGCGCCATTTTTAACTACGTTTTGAGAAGTTAACGATACCCTAAAGCATCGTTAACTTTAACTACGTTTTAACCACAGTTAACGCTAACCACTTTTTTATACAACCGAGTTAACTACGTGATTAAAGTTAACCACTATTTAACTACAAAATAGTGACTAAAAAAGTGATTAACTGTTTTATACAACCGGCCCCTGATATTTTGTATTATTCATTAAAAATTTATACTAAAATAATTATCCGCCTCAGGCTCAGTGATTACGGTGAATATTATACCTCAAATTCAAATTGTCCAATGAAAAAACAGCATTTGTACCACGTGATAGTGTGATTTTTTAACGGTATTTCACTCAAATTCATGATTTCGCAATCCAGCGTGGGATACTATAATATCCCACGGCAGATCCACCCTTACGAAAAAAGTCTATAGGTGGCCTATAGGTTCCTATAGAAGTTGTTCCAATTTCCTATAGAAGCCTTTAGGCACCTATAGAGCTCTATAGACTTATAGGCATCCCTATAGGTCACCTATAGAAAACGTTCCAATTGCCTATAAAAACCTATATATAGGTTTCCTATAGAAACCTATAGGTTGGCCTATAGGCCAGGCCTATAGACTTTTTTTGTTAGGGCATCGCGGGATATTATAGTATCCCACGCTCACGCGCGACGCGTGGACACCACGCTCTGAAACAATATGGCGTTCGCGAGCTGTTGTTACCTCCGCCAGGAGGTTATGTAATCATCTGAGTTTGTATGTGTGTGTGTGTGTATGTGTATGTGTATGTGTGTGTGTATGTGTGTGTGTATGTGTGTGTGTGTGTTTGTCTGTGAGCACGATAACTCAAGAAATACCAAACATATCCGTACCAAATTTTTTGAGTGCATTTCCCATCGGCTAAGGAAGAACTGATTAAAATTTGGTTGAATTTGGTTAAAAATTGAACGAGAAATGAACAAAATTTTGTCTTGCTTTTCCCGGTCAATTAACAAAATATATTACTGAATGCGTAATTAGGACGTGTATAATTTATGCACTCAGTGCTAAGACAGTAATGAGATGATAAACCTCATTAAGCTTCGGCTTTCATTATCTATTGTCTTAGTTGCATTTCACGCGACCGAAATTCAATGTCTAAAACAAGGCTTACGGAGTTACGCATTATTACGTTCAGCAAAGTGCCAGTCCATTCAAATTCTAACAACATTAGATTACTTCAATACAGGGTGTATAAAAAGAACGCAACCTCGGAATTTCCCAAGAAATCGACATTGTTTTAAAGACAAAAGATTTTAGCTGCCTGGGAATTTAAAATAGCACAACTGTGAAAATTACTGCACGCGCGAGTGCATAAAGCAAAATTTGTGCATTTATTTAATGACACTTAAAAAGTTTTTATTTTACAAGTACTGTACAGTACAACAACAGTAATATGTTCTATTAGCAATTCGACTTCAATTCGCGGGGGCCTGAAATCTTTTATGCTTAAGAATTATAAAGTGGATTTCTTAGGAAATTCCAAGGTTGCGTTTCACTTCCGAGTAACGGGCGGAGGTATGCAGTCTCTGAGTGCTCTCTAGTTTGTATTAATTTCGTACATAACTACAGAAGATTTACTAAGTTAACCAAAGATTTAAACACGTATGTTACATTCAACGAACCAAAGGATACTTGCTCAAATATTTTAAGGAGAAAATGTCAAAAACTCAGGTATAGATAAGAAATTAAAAATTGTATTCGCGTAGTTATTAATAATATTCAGCAAGTTTTAAAGTTTATTCTGAACTCAATAGTGAGTTCTTTAACTTTCTGTATAATATATCATTTATAGACCCTCCGCTCGGGGGATTCGGCGATATTTCCCTCAGTGATGATATTTTCCTTGGGGGAAAGCCCCCAGGAAAATATTATCACTTCGGGAAATATTACGCCGAATCCCCCTCGCTCCGGGTCTATAAATGATAAACATTCACCTTGTGTCGGTGAATATTCACCGGTATAATATAATCACTTAGCTTCACCACAGCAAATAATTGTTCAGGTGACTCAATACAGTTTTTTAAAAACTGAAATTTGCTATTTAGATGCGTATTTTTGGACAATTATTACTTGTTGATAAACAAAAGTACCTTACTGATATAAAACAACATCTAAAGAGTTTGAATTTTTGCACAAAAGTTACGCAACTGCCACTGCTATGGCAACAATGACGTTTCAAGATTCGGATATTTTGGCTTTAAAGTAATTTAACTCGTAACGACATCGGTGACCCTCAAATTTTATTTAAAAAAGTGATTTCTCTGAGTATAATCAATTATTCTGGTAGTTTAAAAAATTCTCGACTCGAAATTTACGCAAAGGCCCATTGTTCATAATAAAATTAAAATTACGTAAAGGTGATTATTCATAATACATTTTTGTTTGGCTCCACAGAATTTTTTAAAATTGTCAAAATGATTGATTATGCTAAGATAAATCATTTTTAAAAATAAAATGCGGGTGTCACTAATGTCGTTTACGAGCTAAATTACTTTAAAGTCAAAATATCCGATTAAATAAATGATTACAAAGCCCAGTCGAATTGTAATCAAGACCCAACGTTTCGACACTCCAGTCTAGTGTCTCCATCAGGAGTGATCTAAATTTGCAATCGGCCATTCTTAAATACTCAAGGGATGACGTCACCTGTCAATAAGATGCATATATTCCTCTGGCAAATATAGGCACCGTCGTCCCTATTCAAAGCATGATTGCTCATATTTATATTCCACGCTTCTATAGGCAAAGTCTTTGACCATAGCGATTGTTTGTGGTAATTACTTTAGAGTTTTCCCACGCAATCTCGTGTTTGGTGTAACATACATGTTCGGCTAAAGCTGATTTTCCCTTGTCCTTAGACAAGCGTCTTGATTACAATTCGACTGGGCTTTGTAATCATTTATTCAAACCAGAATAGCGAGCGAAACATGATTGATATACCTGGTTGCAGTGAACGAACAAACTTTAGATCTTTAGATGTTGTTTTATATAAGTCAGGTACTTTTTGTTTATCAACAAGTATTATATAATAAGTACAGTGAAACACGCAATTTGATTGGTCAACAGCCGTGCAGGATCAGACATTCCTGTACGGGAAATTCTGAACAGAAATTCTAGCACATCCTTTTACAAATATACTCCCATTGTGAAGTTTCATTGTACGATACCTTTCGACTTTGAAGTAAGTTTGCAATTATTGAGACGTTGGTTTAGTTGTATGAATAAATTTCTGATCGATACATTCCTGTTCAAGCAAGTAGCAACGCGTAGCGATGAAATTCATCAGATCATGGCAAGTACAACATCTCTCGCTAGTCGCTTCAAAGTTCAAACGCTTCGCAATCTTCAAGTATTCAGGTCGAGAATCTTTTCATAACTACTTTGGCTCTCTGTTTAGCGGGTTTTCCATTTGAAATTTCATCGAAAAAATCTCTGTATTTTCGCTGTATATTTTCGCGAATTTGCGATCAAATTCTGTTCGCATTTGTTGTTGTTTTCAATAGCGTGGAGTAGCGATTCTCCGATTGGTTAATTGACGATTGTTGTGAGAACTGCACATTTCATCAGTAATTTTAATCAAGTTAACCGTCGTTTCACTGTAGTAATTTTATAAAACAATTACCAAATGGTTTTCCCGTACAGGATAGCATGATCCATACACTTGGGATGTTGCTCGACTTTCGGAAAGCGTAAAAATACACTCGCCTACGGCTCGTGTATTTTCACGCTTTCTAAAAGTCTCGCAACATCCCGCGTGCATGGAGCACGCAATCCTGCACGGAAAACAATTCGGTATTCCTTTAATAATTGTCAAAAAAAAGCATCTAAATCGTGAATTTTCCATTTTTTAAAAACTGTATTGAGCCACCTTAAATAACAACAGAACTTTAATATAACCTGACTTGGTGACTTGCTCACGCCATCTCGAACCATTGCGCGTATTGCATGCCAATTGCTGATCATGATGTCATCATTACAAAAATCTCCTTTTTGAAAAATAGTACAATCATGCTATACGTCATTATATTATCCTGGCACCTATGCACTCAAATTGTACACGCCATGTGAGAGTTGCAATGTTGACATTATTGACACTAGCACACACGTGACTAGAAAGTTAGTTTAGTATTTTTAGGAAAGTAATTGAATACGTACTATGCTGTTTGTACAAGTTGTTTGATATCTATTGTTATACTTAAGAGTGCTTGATATTGATACAAAACGACGAACATTACATTGGCGACGAGGTAAACAAAAAAAACAACAACAAAAAACCAGCTATCGTTTATCAATACAAACGATTTTGAAATCTCTAGTTTACGAATACAGTCATGGCGACTGGCCGAATCAATGTAGCTCCAATGGCGCCATTTGATCCTATGTTCGATCCAAACTCTCTCAGTCAGCGCTGGAAAACGTGGAAACGACGATTTGAAACATATCTTGTTGCTCTGAATGTGACTGAAAAGAAACAAAAGCGGGCTCTCTTGTTGTACCAAGCTGGCCAAGAGACTCAGGATGGACATCGGCGAAGACGACGACTACGATTACGCTATCGCTGCCCTCGATACGTATTTTTTACCTAAAAGACATGTCGATTTTGAAATTTTTAAGTTTCGTGAAGCCAAACAATTGCAACAACCACATGAAACAATCGATCAGTTTTCAACTCGCCTTAGGAATCTGGCGGCAACCTGTGACTACGAAAATATCGACAAGGAAGTAAAATCGGCCATAATTCAAAACTGTTTATCGACACGTCTACGACGCTACGCCCTGCTTGACTCGGAAGTTACGCTAGCCAAGATTCTCGCAAAAGGCAGAGCTTTTGAACTCGGTGAATCGCAGGCAACCGGCATTGAAAACGCATTTGACTCAACACATATTTCTGACGAAGTATAGTTGAAGCTGTCCGTCCTACAACGAAACATAACAACCATCGTGATAAACAACATACATCATTTCACCGCCAAGACTTTTACACCTCATCAGAGTGTCGGAATTGTGGGGGGCCCTGGCCCCATAACAACAATATTTGTCCCGCGAAACGAAAATCTTGTCTGAACTGTGGAAAATCAAACCATTTTGCGAAAGTCTGTCGTAGTGCTCGCAAGGCTCGCGTCGGTCAACAAGAGAATCGAAGGCCTTCAAAAAAATACCACAAAAACAAAGTTCACAAGATTTATGGCAAACCCTCCAGCAGTGAAAGCAGTAGCGAGGATGAATTCACTTTTACTCTGAAACCGACATGTAGAGACAAAACAACTCCACAGGTTCAAATCTCGGTCAACACCACCCCTATCAACATGGTTATCGACACTAGTGCTTCCATCGACATCATCGATGAGACCCATAGCCCTTCAACGTTCCAAAACACGTATTTTTGCATATGGAGCTACAAACCAGCTACCTGTTATGGGACAATTTCGTGCAACTCTAGAATGTTTGTCTGGTGCAACAACCACGCAAGTTCATGTTATCAAAGGAAATTTTGGTTGTTTGCTAAGCTATCAAACGGCATCTGCTTTGGGTCTAATCATGCTGAATGTTAACAATGTAAAAACGGAACATGCCACCCATGAACAACTGATGAAAGAGTATGCCCATCTGTTCAACGGAATTGGCACTCTTAAAAATTTTGAAGTTAAATTGCACATTGATGATACTGTCCCTCCAGTGGCACAAACCCCCCGTCGTATTCCTTTCCACATGCGGCAAAAGGTCTCAGATGCGCTCGACACGTTAGAAAGTGATGGAATTATTGAAAAAGTATCAGATGCCACTCCTTGGGTCAGTCCATTAGTGTTATCCCAAAGAAAGATGGTGAGATCAGGCTATGCATTGATATGCGCATGGCTAATCAGGCAATTCAACGCGAAAGTCATCCGATCCCAACTGTGGATGATTTAATTCACAAATTAAACGGCGCCACCATATTTACAAAGCTTGATCTTCGCTCGGGATACCATCAGTTATCTCTCGCTGAGGAAAGTCGACACATAACCACATTTGTAACGCACAAAGGACTCTACCGCTATAAGAAGTTGAATGTTGGCACCAATTCGGCAAGTGAAATCTTCCAACATGTAATTAGCGAACAAATCCGTGACATTCCGAATGCCATCAACATAAGTGATGACATAATTATCTTTGGCATAACACTATAATATATATATATATATATATATATATATATATATATATATATATATATATATATATATATATATATATATATATATATATATATATATATAGCTTAAGATTTTGGTTTACGAAACACAAACAGTGCTCAATACCATATAAATAGAGCGTAATATAGTTTTTCGTTTTACCTCAAAAAACCACAACAGTCTGTTTCATCCGTATAGATGTATGATTCCTATGATTCCTATGATTTCATCCGTATGATTCCTATACGGATGAAACAGACTGTTGTGGTTTTTTGAGGTAAAACGAAAAACTATATATATATATATATATATATATATATATATATATATATATATATATATATATATATATATATATATGCTGTTGAGCCAACCAGTGGAATACATGATAGTTTTGGAGTTGAGGCTGGTCTTTTTAAAATACTAGAATATGTACAATCTGCAACCAAGACCACTATACCCTGAGCGAAAGTTCTGTGGACGTCATTCCTTTGCGTCCAATTAACAGCAACATTGGTTCACCTACATATCCCCTATCAAAATACCTTGCAAAATTGTTAAAGACGTTTTGCGCAAAAAAACGAGTTTTCAATAGCTAATTGGAAAGAATTCGCTGATTTTGTTAAAAGTCAAACGTTAGGGACGGATGAAACTATCGTCTCTTTGATGTTGTCTCCTTATTTACATCTATACCTATTCCGTTTGCCTTGCATATTGTACAGAAGAAACTTAAAGAAACTGATTTATGGAAGTCACATACAGCACTGAAAGAAGAACAAGTTGTGAAACTATTAAAATTCCTACTTCGCAATTGTTACTTTAAATTCAATGAGACACACTATCATCAGAAGTCGGGATGCGCCATGGGATCACCTGTTAGTGCAGTCATAGCGGAAATAGTAATGCAAGAGATGACGAATCCAATTCATGTCTACGCAAAAATGACATTGAACAATTCCACACCCACCTGAACATGCACTATCAACAAAAACATTCAGTTTACAATTGAATTACCATCAGGATCAAATCGCGGTGAAGCAATTTCTTTCCTTGATATCCACATTACAATTCTTAAAAACCGTACCATTGAAGTAAGTGTATACCGTAAGGATACACATACCAATAAATATCTATCCTTTCACTCTCATAATCCCATCCAAAGTAAGCGAGCTGTAGTTAAGACCTTACTTGATCGAGCCGACAGCATTCCTTCTAGAGACAATAAAAAACAGCAAGAAAATGAGCGTGTTGTGCAAGAGTTAAAGCTCAACGGATATCCAGAGAAATTCATCTTCCAGACAAGTTCAAGCAGATCGTTTTCCAACACTAATGACGAACCGGAAATTAAAGGGTTATCTTGTATTCCATACATGAAAGGCATATCAGAACAGATAAAACAACTGCTAAAAAGTGCTGGTATTAAGACACTATATAAACCCATGCCAAGCTTAGGGGACAGTTTTGGTAAACCAAAAGACAAGGAGAAGATCACGAAGGTTAAAAGGCATTGTTTATAAATTTGAATGTCCAAATTGCTCATTTAAGTATGTTGGGTAAAGCAAGAGATCGTGGAAGTCACGTTGGGCAGAACACAAACCAGGCGTAAGACCGGAAATTAAGTTTGCAATCAAAGACCACGCAGAAAGCACAGGACACAATGCCTCTATTAACAATGCTACAATCTTAGAGAAAAGAGAACATAATTTAGAAAAACGAAGAACGTTCCTCAAGTCGATGCATTCCATATTAGACAATAAAACAATTAACGAACACAAAGAATTCCCATGCATGTATTTATCGCTTGTGCAATCATGTGGCAATAATGATGATATTTAAAACCTTGAACTATCCGAACTGCTTTTAGTACTCTGATGAAGGTTGCAGTTAGCAACCGAAAATTTAGAACTTTTTTAGAATTAGACTATATATATATATATATATATATATATATATATATATATATATATATATATATATATATATATATATATATATATATATATATATATATATATATATATATATATATAATATTTTCGGAGTTGAAGCTCGTCTAAAATTCTTTTTAGCTTCACCCTGATCACAATTTGGCAATAATTTAGCGTATGTTCAATTTGTTTTCCGGCTGACCTTTTACAGTTGATACAAAGATGTAGCGACAGCGATTTGGCTTCCCATATGTTGTCCTTGGAGTATCGTACCCGTTTCAGGTATATACTATTAGAGAAAAATATTGACAATCAATTATTATGACAAGTTGATTAATAAATTCAACGTGATTTATAGATATACAGGTGGTATAGAGTGTGCAAACAGCCTTGGCTTGGTTTACACCCCAAAACGGACACCTTTCAGGTAAGCATTTGTTTAGCATACTGTATGCAATGCACCCCAATCTCCTGTTTAATTATTATTCGCAGAATGCGAGGTGATTATCGGGGAATATTCACAGAGACGAAGAGACGAAGTGGAGGTGAATATACCGCTTTATTTTTCACCCTGCTCGGTTTCCTTTGTTCTTATCGGGGAATATATTCAATATTCCCCTCTAATCAATTTCCGTTTAATAATCCCCTCTAATATTCACCTGCAATTAATAATCCCCTCTAATATTCACCTGCAATGTCTTTGCAGCACAAAAAATGAGAAAAAAACAACATAACGAAGGCAATATGACATTAAGAATTATTTCTATTCTTACTGATTAATGCGACCTCGCAGTGTGAAAAATAAGTATACGTTATTTTGAGGCACCTCGGGGATATGTGTTTATTCACCTCGGCGCTACGCGCCTCGGTGAATAAATCACATATCCCCTCGTTGCCTCAAAATAACCTATACATAATCACTGAGCCTGAGGCAAATAATTGTCATGCAGTTTAGTATAGTATGTTGGATAGTTGAAAATATCCAGCCAGATTCATGGTATTATCCAAATATATATGGTTAATGCCTCATAAATTTAAGGTCACTCCTTTAAATGGCGATGTGCCCAGCAGCCTGGATGCTCCCCACTGTATTATTTTACTTGTCAGTTGTCAGGAGGAGGGTGCTGACAGTCAATGGGTTAATCAGACTATCTTCCCATGCACCCTATCAACCCTTCAAGTGGCAATGTGCCTCACTTTATTATTTTACTGTCTAATTAGATGTCAGACAATTTCACTTGTCAGGGGGAGAGTGCTGCCACTCAATGGGTTAATCAAACTATCTGTCCATGCACCCTACTAACCCTTCAAGTGGCAATGTGCCCCACTTTATTATTTTACTGTCTAATTAGATGTCAGACAATTTCACTTGTCAGGAGGAGAGTGCCGCCACTCAATGGGTTAATCAAACTATCTGTCCATGCACCCTATCAACCCTTCAAGTGGCAATGTGCCCCACTTTATTATTTTACTGTCTAATTAGATGACAGACAATTTCACTTGTCAGGGGGAGAGTGCCGCCACTCAATGGGTTAATCAAACTATCCGTCCATGCACCCAACTAACCCTTCAAGTGGCAATGTGCCCCACTTTGGATGTCAGACAATTTCACTTGTCAGAGTGCTGTCACTCAATGGGTTAAGTGCTTCACCTTCCCTAAATTTATTTCCACTTCCCCCACTATTTCCACCAAAAATCAAAAATCCATCCTTGGTATTATGGGAACTGTTTTCATTGGGAGATTGTTGATGTACTCTAAGTGTGTTTCGTCAGTAATATTATCAATCATATAGTCAGTCTTGATATGCATGCACTTATCTTTTCCTGTTTTACCTACAATCAACAGGATGATGATGTTACAAAGAAGATCAAGAAATATGTATCTCCAAGACTTCTGCATGATGTTTGTTGCTGAAGGAATGGTTGTCACCAAACTGAAAGCTGTAAATATCTTAAATATCTGTATTTTGTTTGCATATTGTATGTGTATAGTGCTGAAGGTGTAACTTGACACAGTAAGAATGTGTTTTTATTTTTGGAACATATTCTTATTCCCTGCAGTGGAAAGAAGAGACTTACATGCATGTTGCTAATGCCAGTTGAACACTTAATTTCTTTTATGAAATAGAACATTGCAAGCATGCATGCATGTCCAAGGGTATCGCATACATACAGTTGATTCCGTTTGACTGATAGATATATTTTTATACAATATATTTTCACACAACAGAGCATTAATTAATATACAGTATGTGCATCAAATTAGGATTTCCATCAATGTTGGGATTGATTTTATTATAATTAATATTAGCCAAGTGAACATTATTTTGTGTGACCTCCTTTTGATTTTAGAATATAGCTTTAACTCTTTCTGGCATAGTTCAACAAGTGTTCTAAGTACTACTGGCTTAAGGTTATTCCAGCATTGATTAAGGACATGCTATACAGTAGGTTGTCTTTACTTGTGGTATCTTGTTTCACTTTCTCTTGTTTTAAATGGTCCCATAAATTCTCAATAGGATTTACGTCCCGAGATTGAGGAAGAAAATTTTGTAACAACTAAATTGCCTTTCTCGTGCTTTCTTCTTAAATAATTTTTACACATGTGAGAAGGGTGGTTCGGATCATTATCCGTTGCAAGACAAATCTCCTTCCACACAACCTTGAGCTACTGTAGATGGTATAGTGTGATCTGGTTGTTCTGGATTTCTGCCTCAACTTCCAGCCGGACCTAAATCCTATTGAGAATTTATGAAAAGTGAAACATAATCCCACAACTAAAAGCAGCCAACCAATAGCATGTTGTTAATCAATAATTCTGGAATAACCTTGAAAACCATCAATACTAAGAAAAACCATATTAAATACTAAGAAAAAAACCATCAAAATTTGTTCAGTCTACATGTATGCCAGGAAGATTTTAAGCTGTTTTAAAATCAAAAGGAGGTCACACAAATATCAATATAATATTCACTTGGCTAATATAGTATAATCAATTCCAACGGTAGTGTATATCCTTATTTGTTGCACATATAGTAGTGTGTTGTGTCAAAATGTATTGTATATCAATATAAAAAGGCAAGATCATATTGACTGGACTCAGACTTTTGACCAGTGGCATATAAGGTGGCTTTTCAAGGTGACTTTTCCAACTTATTTAACTCCGAGGAGAAATGTCTGGGAAAATAATTTTCAGAATTGTCCAAGATTTCACTCCCAAAATGCTTGAAATCGCATTTCAGGGGATCTAGATTTTAAAATTTTCTTGGGGGTGCATGCCCCCGAACCCCCCCCTCCCCCAAGACGGTCTCATGCCTTGCATGAGTTTGCTCCCCCCCCCCTCCAAAATGAAGGTCTGCGTAGTACGCCACTGCTTTTGACCCCCACTGTATAACGATGAACTACTTGTAACGTGCAAGCCAGGAGAATCAAATGCGAAGTCCTTTGTCGTTATATTTTCTCCTTTTATAACAATCCTTTTATTGGACAAATCAACTTCCATATCATCCTCCAAAAATTATCAATCACAAAGATCAACCCATCTTCTCCAAGTAAAACAACATGATCTAGCAGCATGCGTTCGCAAAGCACGTTGGGCTGTGACAATGACAATATTTCTAAGGGGCGGGATTACAGTTGGCGCGCAATAGATAGAAGCCGTTTAATGCGTGCCATGCACTTCGTTGCCATTGTTGTTTTTGCTAAATAAAGTTGTCGATAACTATGTCCATAGTGAAAGTTAATTATTTACGACTATTATGCTGCAAAGAGAGCAGCGCTCGTTTTTATGATAGAAGAAAATCTAATGAGTTTCTCTTACGATGGATTCGAAACATGCACGTCTTACAACCGAAGTTGACGACACGGAAGTTGATTTCTCGTCGTCTTACTTCAACTTTCAAATAAAAGGATTGTTAGAGAAGGAGAAAAATATCACGATAAAGGCCTTCGCATTTGCTTGCACATTACAAATATAGTTCATCGCTACATCAACAAAATCTAAAATTTGATTTCGTCTACAATATTACATCTCTGTTTGCAGAAATGGGCTTTCCGTTTTGAAAACAACGGCCTTTCTTGTTTATCCGCCACATTTCTCTAAATCCAACTGTAATCCCGCCCTTTTGGCTCTAGAATTTACGGTCAAACGGAGTCCGCTGTGGAATATGAAATGGTTCTCTGACTGCATGCATGCGTGTAAATATTTATTTTCACAAGTTTTGGCTATATGACTTGATAGCCTTCGACGAGTAAATATTGTAGAAATGTTTACAGTCAGAGAGGTTTCGTGTGACGTTTCATCCCTATAAGTTATTATATTGCATATACTGTATATTGATTTTGTATTTTAATCTTAATATTTATTTGTTAATAAATTATTGTTTTTCAAGCACGTTTTGAATGGTTTAATGGCGAAATGGAAAGCAATTTTGATCATTTTAACCAATTTAAATGTTTAACCAATTTTAATTTGGTCATTTGAAATTGGTTAAAATGACCAAAAAAAATTGGTCGTTTGAATGCGTCTGAGACAACCAGTTTAAATTGGTCTTTTTAACCAAATAATTAATTGGTCAAATTGACCATTTATTTATTGGTCAAAACAACCAATTATTTCCGGTTGTTTTGACCAATAAATAATTGGTCAATTTGACCAATTAAATAATTGGTCAATTTGACCAATTACTTTTTTGGTTAAAACGACCAATTTAAACTGGTTGTCTCAGACGCATTCAAACGACCAATTTTTTTTGGTCATTTTAACCAATTTGTTTTTACTGTGCATGTCACATTATCCGCCAAAGATTCGACTTAATTTTTCGCATAATACATTTAGCAACAACGAAATAACATAAAATTTCCAACCTAATGTACTATATACCTATGTAGCCGCATCATGGACGGCATTTCTAGAAAGTCCAGTAGTTTAATTGCTATACATGAACAAACGAAAATTATAAAATCCATGGCGTTTTAATTAAGCCGAGTCAGATGGAGGAATAAAAATAGCTACGCACATGAATCTACGAATAGCAATAAATCGTTGCCCACCCTGTCCAGTGTCCAGTGGTCAACCGACACTTTAAAAAGTGAATGGCCACCAAGCACCAGCTAGACTAGAACATAATCAGAAAACAATATATGCTGGCATAAACATGTCATTGAAATACCGGTAATTTGCTCTAAAATGGTTATTCCAGATTAAAATATTCACAATTCTATTTCTAATTGTAAGACCATACTCAGTTGCACACTAAACAAATCCATCGCAGTAAAACGCCACAGTAACTGTGTCTTATACGAATTCGTATACACGCCATAATAATAGAGACTCCTGCCCACTAACCTATACTGATAAGGCCAATGGTTCTGCCGTGAAACAAAATATTATGAAACACATTAATTAAAAAACAATTAACTAATAAAGTATTTTCACTTGTTCGTATATGATATGTTGAAACAGAGGCGGGATAAGTACAATATATAGTTAAACGTGAACAAGAATCACGTTTAATACTGTTGCACTTTTATTGTGTTTATATTAAGTGGAATATTCGACATGAGCGCACACATCATATTAAAGGATCGTATTACATTACTAAATTCTAACAACAACATCTTGGAGAGTAGAGAGTTACGGCCCATAACATTTAAAACATTTAATGGGTCAATTTTACTCGAAACCTTACATTTAAAACATTTAATGGGTCAATTTTACTCGAAACCTTAGTGGCTTACTTTTTCGCTGGTTGTTATACTTTATTAAAATAATTCTGTACCTCATATTTTGCCAAATTTCGCTAATTCAAATGCTTATTAGGTGTCAAGATGACTCCAAATAGGACACAAGGTAGACGCCTTGAAAACCAATACGTACTATTTCGTAAATTGCTGAAAAGTGTACAGCAACCACGCTACTACAAAACAGACACGTAGTTCCAAGATTATAATTTACCTTCGCTCCATTTTCATCCACAAGTCATCAAATTTAAATGTGTGAATAAATATAAATCATAAATTTTAACTCCTCTTTACCGGCATATTGGTTGTCTCGCGACCAAGCCGTGATTTGTAACTGAAAAGTGAACAGTGAACAGCTAACACGTCGATAGCATATAATCTACTTCGTAGATTCAATAACTGTGCATGTTGCCCGACGGCAAATTAAATACGTTGATAACTCGACTTACTTTGACGGAAATCGGCATACTATATATCAACACCTAACTGGCACCATAAACCTAATTAAAATAATTGTCGGATTATGATATTAAGTGATCATGTTATAGGAAATAGTTTATATTCCCTTGTATTAACTCAGGAGTAGAATTTTCTCTCAGAATATAATTTCTCTTACTGGTGCTTGAATACAACTTTAATTTTTCATATGGAGTTTAAAACCAGGAAAATAGATTTTGATACAAAATGAACAGCGACTAAATGAACAAAATCAAAGCTTTTGCAATAAACAGTTATTAGGCTATTAATAAAACTTTCCTAGGCTAAGGCAGCAAAACTGAAAA